GGGGGGCTCGGCCGGTACCGCGGGAGGCTCCGCCCCCTCCGGCCCGGCCCGTAGAGGCCACTCACAGCCACACCGGAAGTGACTCCACCCGGAAGGGATGCCGGGGTGGACGCGTGACTCTCAGCCCCGCCCACTTCCGCTCGCCGGGGGGGGGGGCACAGAGAGCCGGGAGGGCGCATGCGCCCCGCTCCCGCCCATGCGCGTCCCGGCCCCGTGGCGTGGGCAATGCGAGCGGGCCGGCAGCGGCGCCCCCCCGCCCGTGGGCCCGGGCACGCCAGGCTCTGCCTGAGCCCCGGGGCTCCCTGCCCCGCGCGGGGGGCGCCCCGAGACCCGTCCGTGGGCTGCCGGGGTCACGCCGCATTGCTGGGGCCGCCCAGCTCGGGGGGGGGGGCCCGGCCCTGCCCTGCCCTGCCCGGCCCGAGGAAGGGACCCAGGAGACCCCCAGCCGGGCGTTATTTGTAACTCGGTCAATACTCCGCGGTGATTTGCTCCCGCCCCCCTGGGCTGGGCTGGGCTGGGCTGGGGGGGGGGCGTGTCAGCCCCATACCGGTGGGGGGGGGGTTCAGGGAGCGCGAAGCCTCTGGCCCAAGAGTGGGGGGTCCCTGTCCCCAACCCCGAGCTCTCCCGACGCGGGGTGACCACCACTGCCCCGCACAGACACGCGCGCTCACATCTCCGTCCCCAAGGGCGGCCAAGCCACCGACCCCAAAGCTTGACGCGGGGCAATGGGAACGCACTGATCCCCTGTGCTGGACCGTGGGAGTCAATACAGCCAACCCTTCCCCATTCTCCTGGGGTGCGAGAGCGGGGACTTCACACTGCGGTTGAGAACTTGGCCTTGGTTCACCTCTCCTGCCCATTGTCCTTTCCCACCTGCCCTTGAAAGTACATCTCTCCCATGTCTGAGAAAACACGTTCGCTACTACATGTGTCAGATAAACACTTAAAACCAATCCAGATTAACATGCGTCAGTTGTGTCAGTGGTGCAAATTGTGTGCTGTGTGACTCCCCAACCTGCTGACCTGAAATTGGGATGCCAAAGGCAAATCTCTGATGAATCACCCTTCCCAGGTATATGCAAAAGCTGCTGCCCACCCCTCTGAACCTACAACACAAGATCCAGACCCAAACCGAGGGACCAAAGGGGGGTGTGAAGGGATTTATACAGGAGACTGAGGAGAGGCTGAGGGAACTGGGATTGTTTAATCATAGGAGCTCGGCTGTTCTCAGTGGTGGCAGATGACAGAACAAGGAGCAATGGTCTCAAGTTGCAGTGGGGGAGGTTTAGAATCATAGAAGATCAGGGTTGGAAGGGACCTCAGGAGGTATCTAGTCCAACCCCCTGCTCAAAGCAGGACCAACCCCAACTAAATCATCCCAGCCAGGGCTTTGTCAAGCCTGACCTTAAAAAACCTCTGGTTTTATACTCCTGCCGATTACCATCCTCTCTTAGCAGAAATCTATAGCAATAGCGAAGACCCTAGTTGACTTCATGGAGTATCTGGCACATCGCTCTTTTCAGGGTCAAAAGAAGGGATTTTAGGGTAGGGATTTTGTTTCGCTCTCTATTTGGGGGGGTTGGGGGGGGTTAATTGGGTAGAAGGGAGGGTCGTTAGGAGTCATTCTTCTGATGGAAAAGCCTTTTGAAGAGGAAAGCTTTGCTGTGTTTCCCACCGACTCAAGACTTTAGATTCACCCGATTGCCTCCGGAAGTTTGCTCCATACCTGAAGCTCCTGGACGGGATGCTTTGTCCTGCGCTGGGTGACCTGTGTTGGCTCAGACACAGCTGTCATGGTGGTTCATAGATCAAACTTCAGTCTTTCACAGAGCTGGGGCGTTATCCATTCATTGAACTTTTCTTTCTGTTTATAATAATCTCTCCGCACCTGCTGCGCGGCCTGTTTCCCTGTGGGCATCCCAGCACTCAGTGTTATCTTCGTGCTGCTCTTTGCATGCAACACAGCTAACGTCTGGGGGGCAGGGGTTAATGAAAAGAAACTCTCAGCACTGCCAAGCCTGGGGGGCAGGGAAATGATGGAGTGGAGCAGGCCGGGGGCTGGAACAGTTTGTGTAGTGGGGGGCTGAGAGCCACTGAACCAAACTGGGAATCCTGGATATGATAGAAACCACTTCAGATTTGGAGGTGCTGCAGCCCCCTCCTAGCCCTAGTTCCAGCATCTGTGGGCGCAGCCTCTGGGCCCCACAGCTGGATGAGAGCAGCATGGCCGGTTGCAGAACTGGAGGCCAAGGGCCCAGGCTTCGAAGGGCACTGGAGGCAGAATGCCCTTGGCGCTCTCACACCTCAAGACTGGCCCAAGCAGGGCCTATGCAGCAAACCCAGGCGCAGCTACGCTTGGAAACCTGGTCACGTTTAGACCAGGGGGAAGGGGCACAGCAAGGATCCCAGGCTTCGGCGCCTCTCTGACACTTATGTGGAACCTCCCCCCCGCAGCAGTCCAGTGCTGCTAACCCGTGGGGGTCACGTTAAGATCAGCTCCCTTAGTGAGGCCGTGGCTTTTCATCTATAGTTTCAATGTTGTAGATTTTTTAAGCCCGCGTAAAGACAAACCCACTAAAGTTATGGCTCCCCCAGCCTGGGCCATCCCCAGCAGCCAGAGCCCGGCGCAATCAGAAGAGGAACGCCAGCCTTTTCCGAAGCGCTCGCTCACTTTGGGGGAGCCCTAGCCGAGGCCCCAGAGGTGCAGGGGACCTGCCCGTAAGCCTGTGCACTGCCACCCAGCGTTACCAGCCCCATCATGTGCTGCGAGGCAAGGGAGTGTCCCGAGACACTCAGACGAGACCGGTTGTGATCATGTCCCGGCTTTAATGTCACTTTGTCATGTAACACGTCTTAAACAGAACTCACCCCCCAAAACTGTCTGAGCCCTGGGCTTTCAGTCAGAGGTGCCGACTTTCTAATGCACCAGGGGTGTGTGTGTGTGTGAGATCCCCCCACTATGCCCCTGTCCCCACTCCATCACTTATCCCTAAACCCCCCATCCCCACCCTGCCTCTTCCTGCCCTGTTCCACCCCTCCCCCAAGAGTGCCACGCTCTCGCTTGTCCGCCCTCCCCTCTCCCCCCCAGCATCTCCTGCGCTGGGAGGGACGTGGAGGTGTTGATTGGTGGGGCCTGCCGGCAGGCAGGACACACTGAGGGGGGGAGCTGATGGGGGGGCTGCCAGTGCGTGCTCAGCACCCACCATTTTTTTTCCAATGGGTGCTTCAGCCCTGGGGCACCCATGGAGTTGGTGCCTATGCTTTCGGCCCTTCCTGATCAAAGCCAGTGGGGTGACCACCAGCGTGTCCTCTCATTTTTCCCACCCATGTGCGAAATGAATTGTGTTATGTGCACCTATATGGAGGTGATGTGTGTGACACATCACCTCATATTGGTGCACGTAAAATTCATGTGGTGGGGGTGGGGCCAAGGGATTTGGAGTGTGGGAGGGGGCTCAGGGCTGGGGCAGAGGGTTGGGTGTGGGGGCTCCGGCTGGGGATGCGGGCTCTGGGGTGAGGCCGGGGATGAGCGGCTCAGGGCTGGGGCAGAGGGTTGGGATATGGGGGTGAGGGTCCCGGCTGGGGGTGCAGGCTCTGGGATGGGGATGAGGGGTTTGGGTGCAGGAGGGAGCTCCCCTCAGCTCTCGCTCCCCGCGGCAGCTCCGGGGCTGGGGCTGTGGGCTAGGTGCCTCTCCCTGTGGCCACGGAAGGTCCAGGACGGGGCTGGGGCCAAGGGAGGGGCATTTCTTCCCCAGCTGCGGCAGGTCTGGGGCTGGGGGAGAGGAATCTCTCCCCGCCACAGCCCTGAGCGCCTGCGTGGCGCTTAATAGGCTGCTGCGTGGCCGCGCAGCTTAGAGGGAACGTAGGTGACCACGCTCGCCCCTGCTAGCCACTGATGGTGTGGGGGAAAGCCCCCCGAGCAGGGTTATTTGCACTGGGGTAACAACTGTGCCCAGGTGCTCAGCTGTGAGGATAAGGGCTTTTCCTGTAGCCATACCGT